GCCTCGTCTTCGCCATTCAGCTCCGTCTTCTCCTCTGGACTGGCTCTGCCAGCTGTTTTGGGTTGGAGTTGACCAGGCCTCGCATAATGGGCCGGCCCATGCCTAAGTATTTCCTGTGCGCTTGACCCGAAGTCTACTGAATGATTCAATTGGGCCACCCGCTGGATATCGGCCCATCACAAGCCCCCCAACTCCTCATTCCTCGACTGGGCCACGTTGAGGGATGGAGAGTTTACGAGGTCCACGTGGGTCTTCCAGCGCGGATCCAGACCGTTCCTTGGGTTTCGCGTGACGTTTGGGCACGATCTCCACTAATAGGTAATCATGGCCTGCTGCTTCGCCTTCTTACTGTCTGTTAAAACCGCCGCTAGACGCCAATCTTCGCCCTTTGCCTTCTCCATTGCTATCCGTTCATGATTCCGCCGTTACCCGACCCGTTTTTCTTCTACTCCAGGTCAGTTCCCTTTCTCGCCACCATGATTGTTTCTGATTCTGATTTGGCTTCCCCATCGTCCAACTCTCGCCAAGCCGATCAATCGGCCTCTGGCCGTGACCCAAGTCACACTCAACCGTCCCAGCCATCCCCGTCGGCCATGCCTGGCCAAAAGCGGCGCCGATTGATGAAGCAATTCCCTTCCTCGACCCCAGCACAGGAGGACTCAAGGGTTAGATTGGATGAGAACATCATGGCGTTGTGCCACTGCCAAATTACTGACCGGGGGTTCACCGATGCTACTGACATGGTTGGACCCTCTATCGAGGTCCTAAGACCTACCAGCACCCAAACCGCCCTAGACGCTCTGTCAGGGTTCTTCATAGTCCATCTGGCGTCTCTCAAGAAGGGGCTTCAATTCCCTCTCCACCCGTTGTTGATTGAATTCCTCAATGTGGTGGACCTCCTTCCTTGCCAACTTGTCCCCAATTCTCACCGGTACATTGCCGGTTATCTGATCAGATGCAAGGATATAGGGGTGAAGCCTACTCTTGACCACTTCTTGTTCACTTTCAAGCTGACCAAGGGCCATAAGTATTGGGCGTCCCATGCCAGTCTTTCCCAGAGGTCCAGCAAACTTTTTACCAGCGACAAGAAGGGGTCAACCAAGGACTGGAAACCCTTCTTTGTCTTTGTCTTGACGGGGCCCGAATCTCCTTTCACGGGTTCAGGGCTCCCTTCCTTCCGTCGCATCCCATGTCCCCCATCCGACGCCACCCTCTTGTCCATCACCCGCCAACTCTGCGGCCGAGGGGCCATCGATATCAAGGAGGTGGTGACCGAGGAGTCTCTTGCCGAGATGGGGTTTGAGTTCATCCAAGACGAGCTTTGTCACCAACCTGAGCTGTTAAGGGATATTCCCAGGGGAAATCAGCGCGACCTTCCAAGGGACGCTCCTGAGGGAGGCCTTGGCTGTGGTCCTTTTGGTAATTTCCTTCTCTTCTTGTCAGGGATTTCAATTCTATGTCCTTTGGAAGCTAACCATTTTCTTTGCTTTCAGTTGAGCCACAAGGGTTAGAAAGAGAGATGGATAGTGACCTCTTGCTCGGTCGCTTCATGGTAGGGAAAAAGAGGAAGAGAGACGCGACCAAGCAAAGCAAAAGCAAGCGCTCTTCCTCTCGAGGCGAAGATAGTCCTCCTCGTGAGCAGACCGTGATCGTGGTGGAGGACCAGGATGATGCGGCTCTAGAGACGGGTACAATGGCGATCCACTCCCCACCGCGCTCTCTGATGCTGGGTGGCGACCTTGTCGGGTCGTCCCAGGGTGCTATCTCGGAGCGACCTCCTTCGTCGCCCGCAGTGACCTACGAGGTGGCGACCGAGGGTCGCTCAACGAGGTTCAGCATTCCTCCCCCGTCCCCAAGTCTAGGGGACGTGTAGCTGGAGACCCTGATCACCCTGCCCGCGCAGGACCGGGCTCGCATCTCGGCCGGTTCCGAGGATGACCTCAACAACATGGTTCTCCTGAGACTTAGCCAGGTATTTGCCTTAACTCCCTCTTCACTACCCCTCCTTCTTACATTTCTAACCTTTATGCTTTGGTACAGGCTACGCTGGGGATGATTGAGGTCTGGGGATGATTGAGGTCGTCGGCCGGAAGCGGGACCGCCAAGCTGCTTCGGATGAAGCGATGAAGGCGGCGGAAGCTAAGCAGAAGGAGTTGCATGAGGAGGTCGCTCACCTCGCAAGGGAGTTGGAGGAGAAAGAGGGTCGCTTTTCCGCCCTTGAGGCAGAGAAAGCCTCCTTGGCTTCAGAAGTGGGGTCCATTTCTGCCCGCGTAGCTGAGCTGGAGGGGGAGAAGACCGATTTGATTCAGCAGTTGGAGGCGGAGAGGAGCGACCGAGTCCGTCATGTGGAGGAAGCAATCGAGTCCTTCAAGTCTTCTCCTAACTTTGCTGTGGTCGCTATGGAGCGAATGGACAAGCTGGCCGCCGAATGGCTCAAAACCGAGCCTGGGGCCCAATGGATGGTCAAGGAGGGAACAAAGTCCTTCAACTGCGGACTCTTTCGTGCCTAGCAGGTCTTCCGCGACAAGCTAGCCCGGCTCCCCAAAGGATTCCCTCTCTCTGACCTTGGCTTTCATCCTCCCTGTCGTGCCTTGGCTGAGTTCGACCCCAGTCCTTACTTGGACGAGGGGAGCTCAAGTGCCTCTGACGAGGAAGAGGAAGAAGCTGCACTAAATGACCAGGATGGACAGGGCGACCAAAATCCAGGGGCCCACCTAGCAACATCCAAGGCGGGAGGAAGTGCCAGCTCGAGCGTCTAACCACCCCAGTCTTCCCCTGTTTGCTGTTTTCATCCTGCCTTTCAACTTTGTAAAAACTTATGATTTTTGAGACGCAAGGTTTAGCTCGTAATGTCTTGACACAATACTTCCATGTTTGATGTTTGTTTTGCTTTATCCCTCACGTGCCTTCACTTTCATTGTGTTTTGCTGTTGTATTCTTTCCTTTAGTTTGGCTTAACTCATTGACACGGATGAGCTTTTAGCTTGGGCCCATCCTCCATCCTTGGCCCAATTCCACAGCTAGGCCCAGCCTTGGGACTAGCTGGTGTGCCACCCAATTGACCCACTGCCCTTCGCAGTCTTTGATTGGACCTTTGCGCGGCTCAAAGTTGCTTTATCGGTTCAGCTGCCTTGGGACTTGACCGTCCCTTTGGTTTCTTCACCCGGGGCTATTTATAAGCCACCCAGTCTTCGTTCAGCTCCACCACCAAACATTTTCTCTTTCTCCATTTTTGTCATGTCTGAAGAAGTTCCCACTTCTCTGAATTTCTCCGATGGGCCGGCCCCTTCTTCGCCGGAGCCTGCCTCTTCCCCCAAATATGTTAACTCCAATGACTGGGGGGCTAAACCCCTACGAATTCTGCCGCCGGTTGCCTCGTCGGCAATGGCCCTCGGTTAAACCGCCGCCGATACCGCTAAATCCTTATGATGATTTTAGCGCGGCGTACAAGGCACTTTCAGCCAACCGTCTGTTAAACGGACGGATTGACTGGGATGCCCCATGCCCCCTCCACTCGTTGCAGTGCATGGCTTGGGAGAGCGTGCAGAATGAGCACTTGTCTCTCTTGGAGCATGAGGGAGCATATTACACAAGTCTGGAGCACTGGACTAGCAAGAGTCGCACCAACTCACCAGTACGGCCTAAAGATGAGGTTGTGGTGGGGGAAGAGCTGGATTCTTCCACACCACGCCCTGCTGGTCGCTCGCCTCCCCGGAAGGCTCCTAGGCGATCTAGAGTAGCTCGAGCGGCCTCAGGGTCTTCATCCTCATCTAGGTGATGCCGATTGGGGCTCACAGAAAAGAGAGTCGCCTCCCTTCCTTTCCTTGCAGGAGAAGGACGGGGGGTTTTATTGCGGCAAAGGGCGACCATCTTTATTCCATGTCGGAGAAGAAAGGTGGTCGCTCAGGATGGCCGGTGATCGGGGTTCTGTCGGCCTATACAGCCGCAGAACTACCCTTCAACCTTGCCTTTTCCCCTGTATTCTTCATCCTTTCCGGGCTTCAGCCGCAAAGAGTTTTGGATTTTTCCTTTCCTCTTTTTTTTTTTTGTATGAGAGATGTATGGGAGAATCTCCCCCCTTTGAAAGTGTGTAAAAGTTTGTTCTTAATTGTATTGGATGTGTAGATGCAAAAGATTATCCTTGAAGTGTAGTAAACATTTTCATAAATGTATTTCGATGTTACCTGTTGACTTACAAGTCCCATCTTTCCTCCAAGTTATCTTTTTCTTGCACCTTATTTCAAGCGTTCAGGTATCCTCAGTTCTCGGTTAGAGAACACCTTGCTTCTTTTGACTAATCCATTCTTGGGGCATTTTAGCTCCTATGGCGTCGCCATATTTTCCCCAAGTCTTCTGGTCGCTCATGCGACCATCAGATCTTATGTTCTGGACTTAGCCGTTTCTTAGGCTTTCTCGCCACGGCGTCGCCCTTCTGTTAGTCGCGTTGTCCCATAGTCACCCTAGCGACCGTAGATTAAGCGCCCTTTGATAGCCCTCAGACTTGGTCGCTAATAGGGTTCGGCACTTCATCCCTTGATGGGTATCTCAGTGCGAATCACCATGTAGCTCTAATTAGCGATCTCTTTGGTCGCTTCCCC